ACATCTGAACATGGCCTTGTTTTCCGGACGTTTTAGAAGGATATATGATATATGATCCAAGCCTCCCACCTTTTGAACGCGCAAGGGGGAGTTATGCGATCGTGGAGTAGAGTGGTTCAGTGGTTTTTCTCTTTGTTTTACGGAGGTAGTAGGTAATGTTTATAATCCTGATGATGTTGCTGTGTTTGTAGGGACCTTGATGTCGTTTCCACCCCTAGCGGTTAGCGGACTACGGTCCGCTGCATCCACGCCTCAAACATCGACTCTTGGCCCCCCCAAAAAAGCGAATCACCTAGTGTTTGTTTCTTAGGTAGTTTTTCGGTTTTTGGAGACTCCAATGTTTACTTGGATGTTTACTTGGATGTTCCAAGTATCCAACCTAGTGTTTTTCGTTTTTGGAGACTTGGGGTTGGAGCTGACCTTGCAGTGATCGAACTGGGGCCTGCCGGATTTTCCTTGCCTCAGTGGACCACTTCTTCTTACCTTGTTTCCAGGCCACGTGAGTCACGCCCAGGCTTCTTTGCCGCACACACCGCCCAAGACCTGCTCCATTGTTCTGGGACGCTGTGCGAATGAAGTCAGTGGCTGATGAAGTCGGTGCAAGTGCTTCCTCCAAAAACGATCATGGGCCCTGCCAGCATTTGAAAGCACACGTTTGGAAGATCCTTTGCGAGAGAGCAAGATATTATTTGCAATATCAATATCAAATCTCTAGCAAGTGATTTCACGGTGTTCCGAAAATCTGTTTGTGGGATCGAGTTGTCATTGCAAGCGGTCAACTGGATTCAGTTCTGGCACGGTCAACACCAACGATGTTCGCCGCGACTGCTCGCCGACTGCTCCTGGGACATTGTCCGCTGTTTGCAAATGATATACAGCAGTTTCAGAGTAGATGGCACTGGCACCCCTACATGTCTTTTAGATGGGGGTCCATATAAACCACCTCTTGGGAATTGTACCATCGAACCTCTCAAAACCACTGTTTTTGCCAGGTTTCGTCCACTCCTTCGGGTTGTTTCAGCTCATGATTGGCTCCCAGCTCCAAACCAGACCATTTCGAGGTTGTGAGCGACGTGGCTGATTGGGAAGCACCCACAGAGACACTGAAAAGCCACGACCACATGACCCTTCCCACCTGCCGATTGACACCAAGCAGCCGCCCAACTGGTACTTTCCAGGTAGTACTGTACAAGAGCTAGGGTAGGACGTGTAGAGCGCGGTTTTTCAAGAAGTTGCATGCTCCTGAGAATGTCACCAACCCCGCCATGTGAGATGGCGCCAGTTCGCACTCCGCAGCCAAGGATGGCTTTTAGCCGGCGTGGCCGGAGTTTGTTTGGGGCCCTGGTGTCGGTTAGATTGGGAGGACCCATGAGCCATGTGTCTCGAATCAAATGGTGATGAGTGGTAAACGACATGCTCACCACGCATGTAGTTTTCTTCGGAGCGCTTTGTAACGGATGAAGATGCTTGTAGGGCCCGGACCCTGCAAACGGTACTGTTATCTACTGTTTGTTGTGAGTCGATTATATTGTGTTTTTTTCTCGGACCATTGCCTCAGCCCTTTCACTCAGCTTGTGTGATTTCGACTTGGAGGAAAGCATCAAGCTCAGCAACTCTCGCTTTGGCACTTCCATCCTCCATGCAGCATAGTCCAGGTGGAGGTGGAGTAAGTCCACAAGTCACGACACCCAGTCCACAGGTGCAGGTTGGATCGTCAGACCTCGGATCTGACGGGATGAACCGGATCTTCGGGACGCGAGGTTCACACGTGGGACCGTTCTAGAGGTAGAAAGCGGCCGATGTTTCCGGGGAATGGCTTGTGAAGTTGGTTTGGCGATAAGTGTAGGACCTTTTTACGTAGAATTGTCTATGTATATATGTATATATTATATAGTATAATATAGTTAAATAGTATAGCATATATAGATGTATAGAGTATAGCAGAGCTATTATCAGATACTATAGAGAATTGTATCCTGTTATATCCGGCTGGTTTCAACACCATTTGAAGCGGCCTCGCTCCACGGCGCCCCAGGTCGCGGGTTGAATCCCGTGTCCGGAGGCGCAGTTGGACGCAGGGCGATTCGACATCACGACCTGTCAGGAGTGATGATCTAGTTGATACCCTCAAGTGCTACAAGGTAGACTCTTGATTAACAACCCCCCTCCATTTGAATGCACGGACTTCCTCTGAAGTTTTTGAGGCGGTTAACAATCAAGAGTCTACTCTTTGGGTCTGGAATGGGTGACCCTGTGGGGATGGATGGGCGAAGGTCTAAACAAATGGGTGACCAGATCCCACCAAATGCAGCGCCCGCTAGGTGTCTACTGGCTGGGTTTTGGCTGGTTTGACGGTGAACGGCATGAAGTTTGGTTTCTTCTGAACTCGGGATGAGGCTATAGTCATCTATAGTCCAGACAGACTGCTTCTGGCAGTGCTTGAGTTGGAGAAAAAGACAAAGAAACACTGAAAGCATGGGTCGTTTTTCTGGAAGGATCCAAAGATGAGAAGGAAGGAGTCGAGACAAATTGCAAATACCAAGAAGATGTTCTTTCAGCAAGACACCCTAATTATGCGGATACTCTGTAACCTCGTGGTAACGATAGTTCAGCTTGCCTTGATCTAGGTCTGTGGACCTTGAACCATTCAAACATCCGCAACCAAAATAAACATCCGCTGAAAAAGCACGTTCGTGCAAAAATACCCGTGGCCCACCAATAAACGCCAGTAGCTTGTGTATAAACGCCCGTGGAATATCAGAAGACCTTAGAGAAGCATCCGCAGACTCAAATATAAGGCCATGTTTGAAAACGATGCTTTTCACGCTGCAGATCCCCAAAAAACAACACGGAGGAAATTCCATGCCCCAAATCCGCAAATCCTAGTTGGCCAATTGGAGGCGCCCCAGGTACTTCTACCTGGACCCAAAAGTACGAAAATGGGACATGTTTTCTTCAAGGAAACACAGATCACACGTTGTAATGATCCATCTTTACTCATTACCCTCTGACGAACACATCACATGGAAGTGGATGGCATGGTCCCTTAGAAGACGACTTTCCGGGTGCCATCCACGTAACCATGTGATGTGTTCATCAGAGTGTAATTACCCATGATGGGATGGCTCCAACTGCGACAGAAAGAGACGTCGCTGGGACCTGAGGCCCTTTGCCATGTGGCATCGGACCTATCCATCTACGCAGGTGGGGAGCCGTGTGAGCCAGTTCTTCGAAGTTCCTGGAAGAGCTTCCAACTCAACGTCTGAGAGTTCCTGGAAGAGCTTCCAACTCAACGTCTGAGTCATTTTCTCATGTGATTTTTGTTGGAGTTGGTAGTTTACAGCTAAGTTCTTGGAATCTTTTTCGGAATAGCCAGTTTTTGGGAGTTGACAGAAGTTCTTGGAAGTTCTTCCCAGTTCTTCCACGACAAGTGAGCTTTTGTTGAAGTGGACAGCAGCTTGGGGTGACCATCACGACCCATGTTTGAGCCGCCAGTTCTTGCCTTTTTGCGCTGCAGTCGTACCTTCATTGTTGTACCTTCCAATGAAGGTATGACTTGACTCTCCATGACCCTCCTGGCACCAACGCCAATAGAATTCTCAGAAGGTACAACTGGAGCCTGTACTATAGGGTTAGCAAAATGGTGTTTGGCAGTTTGGCGCAGTTTGTTTCGTTAAGAAGCACGCGCCGTGCATGGTTCCTTGTAGCGAAACCACGTGCCACGTGCATGGTGCTGTGGACAATGGACATTGAACTATGTTTGAACAGTGTTGGATGTTGTGTTTTCCAGAGCCAAGTAGGTACTGGACTCTTTTTTGATCAGGTCCAGGTTCTGGCCTTTGCGGACCCCAAGAAGCCAGGGTTCTTGGTTTCCCGACTAATTACTACATTATTATTATTTGTCCTACCTTGATGGCTGCAAATACCTGTGCCACTGTGGACTTCCCGCGCCCCCCCACCAAAAAAAGAACACCTTTGGTCGGAATTCCCTTACCGGATGGCTGATGGATCCATGAAAGAAAAAACCTCCCAACACCACTTAGCACGCCTCGTGCTCAGTCGGCGTGCTTCGTCTTCCCCATGGCCTTGGGAGTCCTTTGGTCTTGTGATGTCAGACGTCGCGCGGGTGGACACGACGGAACGGAGGCCGCTTTCGGGGACTGACAAGGGTCCAGAACGCAGGCCGCAGGTCTGTTTAAATGCTCATAGGTCGTGTGATTGGGTGTTGGCCCTGTTGATTCCTCATAGGTCGTTGCTGCACCCCCCGGAAACTGTAGGTTCCAAGTAGCAAGCATGGAATTGAAGGCAGTAAAAGACATACTGCGGCAGTGTGGCATCCTAAAGTTTACCAATAGCCCTTTCCCTCTCCAGAACAATCGAAGCATTCTGCAAGCGGTTTGGAAGATTAGTCCTTTTCCAGGTGGTTGGTTTGCTTGTTTGATTGGGGGGCACTCCCCCACAATCATACGAGTGCCGGCCTTGCTTACATGACTCATCGGTAGCTCTTGCTTTGATCTTTGCACCGGCGGGCCGTTTGGGTGTCAAAAAGCAGCGCCAACCTTCCGCCAACCTGCCTCATCCTGCTGGTGGTTGTTCCTTTCGCCATGGGTGCGCACAAAGGAATCAAATTCGACGTTCAGAGCAGCTTGGTTGCGATCTCTGAGACATGCAGAGACTCAGAATGTAGATAAACATGGTAGAGATCAGTCGCAACTGGTCAAGTCCATTGAACAATACATCCCGCATCATCCCGCAGCATCAACATCATACTGTAAGTCATAATATTGATGGAAGATCCTTTTGCTACACATTCCGCGTCACCAGGTGTGGGACCGCATTGGACATGCATGCATGTCCCCAAATGGGTCGTGGGTCCACATGGGTGGTGTACTTGGGTGGTTTTCTTTTTGGGGGTACGCAGAAACACAGAATTCCCCCATGATGTTCCCACAAGGCATGCTTGCCAGTGATGCTTGGAAATCAGATTTGTCAACGGCCAGGGAAGCAGATGTGTAAGAAGGCGATCACGGGCTCGACTGCCGTGAAAGACAAGGAAGAGAGACTCAGCTGCACAGAAAGACACTTCAACATCCGACCTGCGGAATATGGCCTGCGGAACGACCATGAAATCCGAAAACCAAACATGGGATGGTCCACTTCCATGTTCCTTGGATGGAGCATCATTTTTTGCTGCAGCATGGTGCAACTGCTTGGAATACCTGTGTCTCTCCCAAAGACATGCAACTCATGCAACATGAGCATCACGAAGGGGATCATTAAGGGGATCACAGGTTTCTTTTTTCTGTGCCCCTTTTGCAACCTTTGTCGTACCTACCGCGCAGAACTCCGCCTGGATAAAACTTACCGGCTGCGAACACAACTTCGGTCAGTTCTTGGAGTGTAGGTTCAGGATGTTCGATCATTCCAATGGAACATCTTGATTGCGGTGCTCCACGGTGGAATCTTAACGATTCCTCAACATCAATCAAGCTGGCCCAAGATGTCAAGGACTATGCTATTCATTGCTATACAAGGACAATGCTGTCAGCCACGGCACATCGAGCCGGACCAATAGCATAGCCCCATTCACGATTCCTTGGCTCAGTCTCAGATCCCTTGGCTCAGTTTCAGATCCCTGGGCTCAGTCTCAGCCGCGTAGATCGTACGCACCCGATCCGCTGGTACGGCGCCGGGCTAACCCGGTGGCAACTTCCATCCAATCGACCCTGGAGTCAACCGCTTCAACCGCTAAGGTACCGGACATCACACCCGGTCATTCGGAGGGCCCCCTTCGAAGGTGAAGTTCACCGGCCAGCTGTGCCAGCTTACCTATTCTTCTTGTTGCTGGGACAATTGGGGGGGTTCGCCGGCTAAAATCCACCACCCCCGGTGAGACTGGAGAGAGCACCAGTCTGAGGAAGATCCTGCAGACCTTCAAAGAGTGGGACAAGGACGAGGGACGCCTCCGTTCTTGTCGTTTGGGTGTCGTCCTTCTACAACTGGGTAAACCCCGAGGGGGCGTGGCAACGCCCCGACTACAGACTACAACATGCAGAGGGTCAGAAACACCATGGCGTTTTAACAGGGGTTGTTGTGGGGGTTTCGTGTGGACGGTTTTCACACGGTTTGTTTCATGTGGACGACCGCTGGATGCCGATGTCGTCCGAGTACGTCGCGTCGTGCTGCGTCGGCAGGTGCGGATCGGATCGCGCGAAGGGTGGAGCACGGTGAGCCCGGAGAGGTCCAACAAGTGCGGTGCACATCCGAACGAAGGTCCCACGAAGGTCCTCACGGATGGGGAAAGCAGATCGTAAATCAGGTGTCACGGGAGTTCATGCGGTGATCAGTGATGAAGAATGATTTTGTTGGACGTACTGCATCAAACGACGGGAGTTCATCATGTACACAGTCAGGCTGCATTCGGCTCGTAGTACATCATAGTACCGTGCTTACCTTGACCTCAGGTCAACCACCCCAACTGATCGGTACATATGCCAAATGTACGATCGTCCCACGAGGTTTGTTCGGGAGATGAACCAAATTCCCTCGCGTTTGGCATTTGGAATCATTTGGAATCTCCCCATTGTACCATGACATCATGACATCGCCTCGAGGCAAGGAAGTACATGCAAATCTTGGCAGATGTGAGTCCAAGCGACGTTTTTGAGCCTTGCCCACCTGATCCCAAACGCGTGCCTTGTCCGCCTTGTCCGGAGGACAAGAATGGCTTCATCACCAAGGACGAGCTCACGGGCGTGTTGAGCTCATTGGGTTGCTCAGTGACCTCTGAGGATGTCGACACCATGCTCAAGGAGGCGACCACGTCGCGTCCGGGTGGCAGAAGCCGAACCTCTGTTGAAGGAGCTTAAAGACTCCCAAGAGGCTAAGAGATCTAAGAGCCATTTGGTGTAAAAGATTAAGTATATGTTTATTATTGTTTGTTAATATAAATCAAATCCATTTTGTGGATTATTGAGGTGCAAGCTTGTGGAAACTTGTGGTTCTAGGGGGCTGTGCAGCAAGTGTTTCTTTCTGATCTCCAGAGTGAAGGATTTGATTCTTCCATATTTTTCTTTCACCCTGTAATTTTGCCGGGGAATGTTTGCTCTCATGGAGCCTTTGTACAACAAGTGCCCAGAAAAGAGAGAGAGAGAGAGAGGGAGAGAGCAACAAATTGAAAAAAAACAACAACATAAATGCTGCTTTGTTCCAATGCACCCCCTCCTCGATGCAGTGGGCCACTTGGGTCGCCATGCTCAAACAGGATGCATTCGCTTGTACCCTAAAAAGCCCCACCCACGGTGCGCATGACACCCACAGTGCGCAGTGGGGCACGAACGTGGAAGATCCACAGTGCGCGTGTGTTGTTTTCTCGCCATCGGGATGATGATGAATCCAGGTTAAGGTCTCTGTATATGTAAATGTATATACTACCTGAAGTATTATATGCTGCTTCAGTGTTGGATGTCACTTCCACTCCCATCGTTTTCGAGGTAAAGCCTTAGACCTCAATTGGAAAACACCTCGTGCTCGACATGGAGAGCGATTGTGACAGCTGCGTTGCTCAGGCAGATCTCGATTCAGATGGCAAGATCAACTATGAGGAGATTTGGTGACTCCCTTTTGCTGATCATCACATATTGTGCATATATACCATAGTATATAATGATATGATATAAATCATGTTGTATGTAATATATGTTTAACATGTTCACTCAATATACAAAGTATATATATATATATATTAATATACATAATTGTATACGAGCAATCTCTACACTTCCGAGCTCTAAGGTAGGCATCGGAGGCTCATCCGAACACTTAATGTACCCTTTTTTCTCCACCGGACTTCCCACGTCTTGGACAAGACATCGCAGATGACAGGAGATGGTGCACTGGCTTTGCCGCGCACCGCATTTGGAAGAGCCACTCGGAATCCGCAATTATTTTTAAGGCCGTTTCAAGGACTTACCCAGGAAAAGTAGATACCGTGCCCAACCTTTTTGGGTGATTGGTTTCCCGGCACCCAAATCCAACAGGTGGATAAAGGTTAACCTGTATTTTCCAGGGGAAGGCTCGGGAAACATGGGATACTGGGGACTTGCTGCTGCCTTTGAGAGAAAGGAGGGTGGTGACTCCTACCGGAGAATTCTCCCGAGGTGAGATAACTGAAGCTTTTTGCTTGGGACCTGTACCTTTTTAAGGCATCCGCATGTGGCGTGTGGGGCAGTGGGCAGGTACTTCCTTTGCTCCGTGGATATTTTCAAGCGAAACTTCCTCGAAGTGGACACTGAGATGAAGAAGATGCAGTCGGAGATGAAGGACTTGCAGAAGCACCTTGGCTGCAATAACTTCCAATTCACCATTTTACCCATGATAGAGTCAGGTCGTCATAGTGGGCATGAGGTTGCAGTTGTTTTTGTGGGTGGAAGAAAAAGCAGCCGCCCAAGATAAGAAGATGTGCGTTGACGGGGCTGCAGTTGTTGTTTTTAGTTGTTGGCAATGCCTTTGATAAATACTTAGTAAAAATAGAACCAAACTCCCCGGGTAGAACCACCGGGAGGAGCCAGGCCCTGGTAGCCAGTGCCATTTGACAGTTGATGTATTAATACATTCCACCATAAGAAGACATAAGAATATGTAAAAGCATTCTTGTGTGTGTTCAACATTCATCTAGAGTCACCATAGTTGGGCAAGGAATTTGCCATTCCAGGTGGTGTTCGATTTTGTCCGTCCGCCGTGCTGTCCTGCGAAGACCGTTAGTTATAGAACTTGCCTTTGAGTGGCCTCCAGAACAGCGACGGCGGGGTATGGATGTCAATTTATGGGCTTTGATTCGGTAAGATCTGCGGATGATCCCGAGCCACTTCGACACTGAACCTATCGTAACCCATAATTAGGGGGGCTGACCTGAAGAGCTGACGGCATCTATATAGAGTATCCACAGTCTTTGTCAACCGCTTTCATATTCGTGGCTGCATGTGTGGCACACGTTTTGCAGAATGAATGGGGGCATTTGGAAGATGAGCAGCATAAGCGCCGAGTATGGTTCGTAGGACTTCTGAACCAGTATGTACAATGTCAGTTTTGATTTTGCATCCATCAAACCTAGACAACTAGCAGCTTTGGTCCAGTACATCTAAAACTCTTGCTAGTATACAATCTAGATCACTCTAGTTACTTACAGTACAATCAATACAGTAATCAAAATATATATATATATAGGCAATATGTGTAGACTTCCACTACACTAGGTGTAGATTAGCTGGATCTTGAGAGTTGACATTCCTAAAGCCCAAGCTGCCTCTTTCCACACCAGCTGCGACCAGGGTGTTTGAGGAGAACGGCGGAGATGATAATCCCGGAGCCTCGGTCGATGTGCAAACGAAGAACACACCAAACCTACTAGCGATGGTCTCCAACCTAATTACTAGCGATGGCATCCAAGTGCTCAGATTGCTTGACATCCACATATGGGGCATCCATTTCGACTTAGTTTCGGGAAAGACCGTAGTTCCACGCGAAGCTCTACGCCCCAGGGGTATAATTACTGTGTTTTATGTTTTTGCGGTTTCCTGCAGAAAGCAACGTGATGACAGAAGAGGTTTTGATAGTTACTGCTGAAGATAGCGATGTGGCCCTCAAGTTGGATGGGCCATGGAATATCAACCACACCTGTTTGCCAGCGGCAGACACAGAGGTTAGCCGCATCCTGGAATCAGAATTTCAGCTATATTATTATATATATATATATATGTGTGTGTGTGTGTGACATGTTCTCACGGATGGTGTGAATGGTTCTCCCACGCATCCATTCTGACATGGTTCTTTTCCCAGCTGCCTGGCTCTTTGTTCGGAGAATGGATGTGATTGGAAAACGGCAGCTTTTGTCGGGTGAGCAGCTGCTCACCGTAGACGACTTCACAGCTTCGCATTCGCCGGTCCCGCTGCCTCCGTGCCAAGAAAACATGAAGAAGGCGCTGGCAGTCTTCAAAGGTTTGACTGCGAGGATGACAGAACTCGCAAAGAAAAACCAGCATCTTCGGCTAGAGCGGAATGTCGCCCCTTTTTGGTTGGGCGTGTGCGCGTGTGTTGACTCTCCGAAAATGTCACACTTTCAGAGGCGACGTAGTGATCGGACGATATCGGATGGGAATCCGGAGAAGCCGCGGGGAAGGGACAAGCCTAAGAGCTATTCACTGACTTTCCGGTGAGAACAGGTTCATAGCATATTCCTCAACGCTCTCCAACTACCTTTTTGAGAGCTCCTGAGAAGGTATGCGCGTAGAATTCAAGGGTTTGAATTATGCCACTGAGGATGCAGTTTGTTTAGATTGTTTGGAGAGTATCCAAAAATGCCAAAAATGCTGCTGGAACATGAAAAAACCTACCCAGTCAGTGGATACGCTTCAACTGGTGGCTCGGTGTCCGAACATGTGACATGTGGAAGTCGGTTTATTGTGTCAAAGGAAAGTCAGGGAGTGAGAAAGAGATAATACGACAAACTTCCAACAGATGCAAAGGTTTCATGGTTTGAACTGCTCAATGTTGGAGGAATTTCTTGTTAGTTGTTTGCTGCAGCGTTGTTTGCACCACGCATGGTACACCTGATAACATCCCTTTTCAAGTCTCAAGCAAGCTATTCCAGCTTTACATGTGTTTAGGGCCGCATCCCGGTATTCCTATGTTCAACTACAGCTGACTACCACATGCACATACAGAGAGAGAGGATATATATATATATGTTGCTTGTGTTGGTTGAATAATACAGCAAGTCAAAATTCTTAGGTAACTATTGTTGGCCCACCCAGTCAGAGAATGGCCTTTATGGGAAGTGGTTGCCCTACTAATCATACAAGGCGGCCAAGAGATGACACGACTCGTCCCTCAAGCTAATCCAAAAACACCAAGGTAGTCTTTACTTCAGGTATCTCCCAACTTTCAAGTTCAAGCCGAAGCCCTTTCCAAGCTCCAAAACACAACTTAATTGATTGATATTATTGAATATACTGTACCATGTATTTGTATGGTATATATATGTAGTTTTATACTGCATTAGATATAATGTATTTGTTTTATTTCAGGCAGCGGATCGATGAAGAGTTGACACCAGTGATCAAGCGCAGCTTCGCCTACCACGACAAGGACTGACCGCTTGCTTGCTTGCTTGCTTGCTTGCTAATTGGGACGATTTTCCTTTGCATCTCTGTCCAGTATTCATCTACGTTATCCGATGTTGCTGCTTTTGAGTCATCTATGAAATTTGTTTCTGCTGTTTATGGGGTCTACCTACCAGCATCTCATTGTTTCTTTTCTGGGTGCCGAATGGCCCCGGAGCTACATTCATAACAGGCCCATCGTCCAAGTGGACTGGAGGGAGGCGCTTGGAGGCGCTTGGACCCCACCAGGCGCCCCCACCCGAGCATGGCCCGGGTCGATGGGATCCAGGACAGCAGTGGAGCCTTGACCTATGATGAAGGCATCGAAGCGAGTGCTTTACACCGGGGTACGAGGACCACGCGACGATCCGCTGAGAAAAGGAGGACCATCTCTCAGCCTCCAAGGGCCCTCCGGTTTATCAAGTTTGTCAAGCGATGCCTTGTTCGAACATGCGAATTCCTGGAATTGAGGTGTTATGTTAAATGTTGTCTTCACATCGATTTCTGGGGATTGCATTGAAGCTCCGCTGGTAGATGATGGGTTGGAAGGCGAAATCAAGTCCAAGCCAGCTGCCAGGCATCATTTTCTTCTCAAACTTTATGACCCTATGGGAGCCGCTCAACCAGGTGCCGCGGCGTTTCGGCCGAGCATTCAGTGGGCCGCCACCCTTTCTTCTTTGGTGGGGCCGGCGTGGATAGAAATCAGAAGGGTCGGTGGCAAAGGATGCTGATGGAATGTGGAGGTCTTACAAATCCTACCTGGTGCGATGAATGATCACTGGGGAAGGGTGACGTGTTTTTGCATGTTGTGGTCCCGCGGATATGTGTCAATAATTGAGTATGTTAATTAATTGTCTATTGGAACTGTTGCTCCATTCTTCTTGTTCGTCCTGACTTCGGGCTCCGTCGGGCTCCGCTGGAACCTCCGCTCCAACCCGGCAGGTCATGTGTGAGATGAATGCTGCCCAGGAGGTGATGCAAGACCGCTTTGATTCTTGGTGCAAGACGACGTATGGCATATGGGTTTGTTCATGAATGGGTAGACTGACACCACCGATGGCTCTGAGTCCATGGGTTTGTCCCGAGATTATGCTAAAATCAGGCCAATGGGGATCCAAGGGGACGTGATTCTGATCCTCATCTCTCAAACCCAGGAAAAATGTGAATAGCCTGCCCACCCTGTTTGGAGGATTGGATTTCCCACTCAATTCCGGATTCTTATTTCAGCTCGGGTGTGTGTTTCACGAGGACAGTGAGGAAGAAGTGAACAAGAGCGACGACCGAGCAGCGGAGAAGATTCGCATGGTGACTCCGGACAAGCTTCATGAGGTCTTTAAGACCAAGCGCCCTGGACACGCCGGTGAAGTGTCCTTCCATGGAGGTGTCCTACGGACCGCTGTCCGTGTTCTTTGTGGAGGGGTTGGGGCGGGAATTTGGGACCTTTGGTGGGGTTGGGGACCTTTGGTGAGGTTGGAATTTGGGCTCTAGTCTAGTCGTACCTTTCGAGGAGGTGGGACTAAAGTGGGTGCCAGGAGGGTCCAGTCATACCTTTTGAGGAGGTATGACTTGGAGCCTGGCATGTGAAGTGTGAGCCCCCAATTCCTGCTTTTGGGTGAAACGAACGAAGACAGCGGACGGGAGGTGGTTCTGCAGTCGCGTATATAGTGGCAGACCATTGAAAATGCGAGCCGCCCAACCCCCCGGCAATCGCTCATTGGGAGAGTCTCCGTGGAATCACTCCCCCAACCATTCCACGGAGTTCGGCGGCATGAAAAGGAATTCCTGTGGTTGAATGCTTTCTAAAGGGAACAACAACCAACTAGCAAATCTAGCAATTGATTGGACAGAACAGCAAGCAATAGGAAATCCAAAGGCAACCACCAGAAGAAATACATATGTTGTGTAATTACTCCTAAAAAAATCAATCAATCAGGAGTAATACATTCAATAATGATTTATTCAATAATGTATTGGGTAATATACATTCAATAAATCATTCAATAATGTATTGAATATTCAATACATGATTTGTCACTCCCTCAGGACTATACCCTCTTGGACTACTACCCTCTTCATGTGTTTGGACTACCAGTGGTTTCAGAATATATCGATGGCACTGGCACCCCTATATGATGATCTTAGACCAATGGGGGTCCATATCAACCACCTAACTTGGGGGCCCAAGGCGCCATCGAACCTCTCAATCCGGTGGATCAACGGGACAGGGTCAGAGGACTCGTCCCACGGTGCGCACGGTGTGGTCAATTACACCACACTGGAGAAACACATGAAGAAGCAAAAACACATCTACTCTGGGAGAAACACCATGTCATAACTGTTCCATACTTCTCATGATTCCAACCCCCCAAATTTGCAGATAAGCCCAGGCAGGGTACAGAGGAACCTGTTTTTTTGGTCGGGTGCCAAACTGCTGAGGTATGCGATTTTGGCAGAAGACCGCAAAGAGGACATGGATGAGAAACACAAGAAAGCCTTTGAGCTCCTAAGCCCCTTGGACGACCATCACTGTGAGCACAAAGAGATATCCCAAACAATTCATTGTTTGGTGTCGAAAGAGGCATTTAGGGACTGTAGGGCCATCAAAGAACATGCGACCCATCGGTCCGACTTGGCACCATGCTAACCCCTTCCTTCTGGCGCCCAGTCGCCGACCATCTGTGAGCGGTGCCCATCCTTTAAGAAACAAACGAACGAGCAGGCATTTGTCTCAATGAAATGGTTTAAGGGAACATCTATTATGGGAAACCATTGTTTTCATCCCCAAAACTATGGGTTTCCTGCAGAATTTTCCTGAAACCAATTCTGGGATTGTATTTTTGTACGCCGGGGCAAATCTGTGATCAAATGCCAACCGACAAGGCCCATGGCGTATAACGCAACACACCCAGGCAAAGCACTGAGCAATTAGATGGCACAATATCCAAGTTTGGTGGTTTATTTATGGGCCCCATCGAAAGGGCCTTTCGCTCTTGAAACCACTGTGAATCTTTGACATGTGAGCTGTTCTGCAGAGAGCTAAGCAGGTCTTGACCCACAGCCACTCCTGTTCCAGGTAAGGATGGCAAAGTTCAAGAGGCGGCGGTCGTCGAGGCGCTTTTGCATGGCCATGAGATTTGGCGGCACCAGTCAGAGATGGCAGTTTTGCTTTTAGACGGGAGTAACGGGGTAACGTGTTGGGTTGGTGTCTAGTATTGCGGATGAAAAGGGGGTAAAGTTCTTTTTTGCTATGGCTTGTTGTTCACTCCTTATCTGAATTTTGGAAAGTGGCTTGTGAGTTTTGCAAGGGTTTTTATATAAGGAGGACCAGGATCAATACCAAGAGGGTGCCCAGGGATGTTTCCTTGCCAAGAAGAAGGGGTACCGTATTTTTGGTCAATCCTGGACAATTGCTTTGTGGCTGAAGAAACTTGCAGGATATTGATATCGTTGTTTATATGTTTCTCCTGTCGAATTTGGAAGACCATATTATGCCGAATTTGGGTTTGACCTCTATACTTTTCATTCAAGAGTTTGAGGATAAGGATCTATTTCAAGGATTGCAGCCATTTGCAAAAAATATGCAATTACTTCCTGCATGAGAATGGCATCAGCTTAGGAAAAACTCGTCGCCCATGACTCGTTCGCAGCCCATGGTGCCAATCTGTTCGTCCTTCAGCATCCGCTCAGGAGAAGAACGGGGAGTTCTTGAGCGCTTTAGGCTTCCTGTCTAGGAAACGGCTGAAGTGATTTCTGCGACTGGCAAGTCAATGATTGCAGGTAGGCAGGTAGGCTGAAGATCCTATCACAAACGCTGGATTTGTTGAGAAGATGTTCTATTCAAGGGAGTTCCCTGCATGTCTGACATGGCTTCTAAGAAAGGACACTCATTGAATCTCCGTTGATGTGGGGACGATGTGCTTGATTTTTTCTCGTATGCCTTCAATTTGTTGGACGCGGGTTGTTGATGTTGGTGCCGGGATGATTGTGTTCACCTCCGGGGTGGTTGCCGTTTTACCCCGGTGATCCATGGCATGGTGAAACCGAGCCGGGATGGGAAGGAAGACTGGATGAAGCTGATGGTTCACGGGCAGACCTGAGAAAGGACCTGGAGGACCAGTGGCGCACATTTGGACAGTATCCACTGGTGGCTGGGGGTTCACAAAAATTTTAAAAAAGATCAAAGCATACCAAACCGACCAGAATCCAATGGGATGATCAAATACGATCAAACATCTTGGGCCCTTGGTCATTCATTTCATGAATCTCCACTGGGTTCTTTAAGACTGTCCTTTTGGGAAGGCACCGGTGACTTCTTTTCGTTCGCCAGGTTTGCATATTGAAGACTCCATGCGTGCGGCGGAGTTCAACAGCCAAGAGTTGGGCGGAACCCTCGAGGACATCGAGATGGGCGACTGGGACTGGGACTGGCCGAAGGGCGGAGTTTCCATGGTGCAATGGCGGAGTTCACACCGGTGCGGCTTAGCCTAAGCCGTGCTAAACCGGAGTCTTATGGTGGAATGGCCAGGCACACCCACACCCAAGCGGTGCCAACCGGAGTTCGAAACCATGGACACATCCGGCGGACCTTTCAGAAGGCCTGCACTAGACTAGCGACTGGCATAGGATGATTTGTTGTTTATTGTCCCGAACTGGGGGATACTCTTCGGAAGGGAATATGTTCTCTTAATTATGTTTGTGTGTTGGTTCCTTGCAAATCCAAGACTAGACTGGTACCCAATTAGTAAGGAATGATGCAATGACCCCCCACGAACAGATACAGACTGATATATATATATATATACGGATAGATATACATATGGATATATATATGTATATTTTAGAGAAGAGACAGATACATATTATATAGAGATACCTGAGAATTCCACGCCAACAACCAATTCCTTGCAACGAAAACCGCACCAGTCGAATGTTGTTTCGATCGTTGGGCCGGTGCCCCGGTCGAAGCAATTCTCAACTGCTCCAGACGGCTCCACTGGAGTGCTCCATGAGGCCAGCTCCAACGGCAGCTCCTTTTTGGATATCCTGTTCCCAGACACTCCATGTATGCCATATATGGGGTTGATTTGGTGGTAAATGCTCAGTTTACCCTGGAGAAGATCTCCGATAGGGGCACGAAGACGCGACAAGCGACAACAGATACGTTGTGAGGTGCGATGCTTCTTGACTTGTGTGTGTGCACGTGTGTCGAAATAGATGACCGGAACGATCACAGGACGATAACCTAGAATTGCATGGGGATGTCACTCAGCAAACCACTCCTATAGTTATAGGCTCGAAGACTTGTCCAAGGAGCTCTCTTGCAGTGGCTCACATCGTCCGGAAGCGGCGAATCGGTCGGCTTGCTTGGCCACAGGGCCTTTGGCAATGTTTTTGCATGAGATTTTGGGGGAAGCAACCACCTCCAAGCACGTTCCAGAAGAATGGCCACCAGGTGTGCGAACGGGCTGGCAGAGCCAAACGCACGGCGTTTGAACGTGCCCAAGGCATCAAAGAGATGGAGGGCGCTTGCGTGGCTCTGGAGGGTGGCTCAGTTGAAGCGTTTAGCCCTTAAAGTGCTGGTGAAACAGAATGCGAACTACATCGACCCCTGAATATGCCCGTACATGAAGTGTTTAGGGTGATGTGCTTTGGTGTGCCGCACCGGCGCCGAGTTCCCGAAAGCGTCTCGGCGCCCAAAAACGCCCGACATCTCGGTGGCTTTGATCCTTTTGGCGCCCTCGATGTCGAGGTCTGGAAAAGGATATGGAAGGCCTCGAAGGTATGATGCTCTTGGGCGTGGCCTTGGCCGCTGCCGGTGGTGCCGGAGGTCCTGGTGGTGCCGCAGGTCCTGGTGGTGCCGCAGGTCCTGGTGGTGCCGCAGGTGCGCTTGAGGGAGAAACGCCCTCCGCTCTGTGGAAGGCTCTTGTGATTGATGTTGTATAGGGCCTTCAATTGAAGGCTTTTGCGATCTAACTCCATATCATGGTTGCATTCTCGCTTGATTCTGAAGGTATATGAGGGGGTACGTGGTGCACCTGGTTTAAGGATTGAGATTGTTTTCTTTGCACTTTGATTCTGTTGCAGCTGCAGCTGTGAACCTGGATATTGTTCCTCCAGCTGCGTATGGTATCGTATGGTTGCGTTTCCCGGGCTCGGCAAGATCCCAGAATAACAGAAAAACCTTTATCCAATTATCCAGTGACATCCTGACCAAGGAGGTGCATTCGACCAAGAGACAAGGGTTGGTCAATAGAAACCCAAGTTTCAAGATGTTTAAGCAGGTTCGCTCTTGGAATCAAGTGAAACCCCGACTGGGTTTTCATGTGGGGATTTTCCTCCCCACATGAAACACCTATACCTGGATGATGGGGCCTGCAAACCCCTTCTGGGGTAGACATTTTGTAGTGTGGATGCGGGGGAAAGTGACGGGGACATCAGGTCGCCTTTTTTCATCGCCGATCTTACGAAGTCTGGTCACTCTGCTTTGTTTTCCCCAAACGCAGTGGTCGCACTAGGGGTTCTTAGGGTTATATATAATATATTGTATAGGGTGGCTATCTTTTGTAAATGCGTTTTGTTTCATTTCTTGCTTCTCTATGATTTATCATGTTTTTTTGTGTTGTGCTTGTCTTGCTGCCTTATTGCTCTTCCTTGCTTTTCTTTTGCGTTTCTTTAGTTTACTGCTTCTGTTCTTCTTGTGGCGTATTGTGTCCCTGTATTATATAATTGCCTTTTCTTGCTATGGCCTTTGCTGCCGTCGCTTTGTATTAGTTGCTTTTCAAGCCTTGAGTTTGTGTTGCTTTATTCCTGCTTTTCTGGCTTTCTATGCTTTTTCTTGTTGTGTGTTTTTTGCTCTACTGGTTGTGGTTGTGGTTGTGGTTGTGGTTGTTGTTGTTGTTGTGTTTTGTTTCACCTCAGGGGACAACCCAAGTGCATCATATGATGCACTCGTCTAAGTTACTTTGCTCGCCCGGCCGCCAAAGTTTTTGGTTTTGGCGGCAAGTGTCATGTGTGCTGTCATGTGCTTGCTCACATACTTGTGCTCGAAGACAGGTCTGTCACAGGTGTGCTCTCATATGTGTGGGCTCTCAGTTATGCGTGCTCTAATACGTGTGTTTCCTCACACCCGTGCTCAAATATGTGAGCATTCATGCGTTTGCTCACATGTGTTTGCTCACTCATATATTATCCGTGCTCTTATGTGTACTGTCATTTGTGGGCACTCGCAAGTGCGCTGTGCTCTCATGCGCGTGCGCATGCGTGCGCTCATATGTTTCTTCACCCATGCCCATGCTCTCACATGTGTGTGGGCTTTCATGTGCTCTCAAGTGTTCTGACACCTTTTTTTTTTTTGGTGTGCTCTCATGTTTGTGCTCTCACGTGTGTGCTTTCAAACGTGTGTTCTCGCAAGTGTGCTCTCATGTGTGCGTTCATGTGTGTGGTCTCATGTGTGTTCGCCCTACTCCTTCTCTCATACTCATATAGTAATTTATGTATTTTCATGTGTATGCTCTCATACCTTTGCGTTAAAGTGCGGAAATTGGTTTATTCATGTTTATTCACTCTTGTCTTCTCATACTCAACACTGTCACTGTTTGGCGTCTCTTGCCGGGTTAATAATGTTTGTTTTTTGCAAGACATACGGCACATGACCCTCGTGGAGTTCGTCGCCAGGTGAGGGCGATCCCGACTGCATGGTTCAGTGAGTTGACTCCGGACGAGTTCAGTGGGCCGAATATGGTTTCAAACGTTTTCAATCAGATCTGCCGATGATGCGGTCAACATACAGAACATCTTGGTGATGATATGATATGATGTGTTCACTGGCGTTTTTTGAAGAACTCTTGCTTTGAGTGTGAACACTTGGAGAGCACTTTTGATTTGTATTGTTGATGTTGGTAGAATTCAACCAGCCAGCAGCTGCCAACATGTCAAAGACATGTCGGTTTGGAGGCACGCAGGCACGCAAGCACACAAACGCATATAAATCAGTGTGGATAGCCATCGACCAGCGCCTTCCTGAGTCGACCAGATCAATAGTTTCACCGCACAACCCCTGGGCATCGGGGTGTGTCAAAAAGGTTGTGAATTAGCAAACACCCCCAAAAAGATATACAAAGTAAATGACCAGTTGTTGGAGCCAGTACTGAGAAATTGCTTCCAAATGGAGGCTGGTCCTTATTCCAGTGGATCCCAGTGAAGAGTTACTGCCTGATGTAACCAAGGATTCTGCTTTCAGTAATTGAGAGTGCTCGAACAAAAAGAGCACGCAAACCCCTAGGGTGAAAAAGATGTGCATGTGAATTGTCCAGAGGAATTCACACAAATTAGACGTAGGATCATGTAGGATCGTTGTTTTATCATGCTTTCCGTTTTGGGATCCACGTTGGGATTGCTTTCACCACCTGTTCTGGTTTACTGGAAGTCCTTCGTCTTCGCGCGAAGAAGAAGACGGGGCGGAGCGGAGCGATGCGGAGCGATCCAGAGCTGACGGGAGGACGAGGATCAAACACCAAAGGGCTGGAAGTTGGCACAGCATGTCGGACGACGGGGCGTTGAAAGAACCATGGTTTCGGACGAATGGCGTGGAGGGACACCAGGACGACGCTGGTGGACACCAGTGCACAGGAAGCGTCTCTGGGGCGCTCTCTGGAAGCTAGTAGCGTCCGATCGCTCCTAGTAGTAAGGCCAGGAGCCCCTAGTAGTAGTAGCTTCTTGTTCCTAGTAGCGATGCCAGGAGCCCCTAGTAGCGTCCTTGCTCCTAATAAGTGTTCCCACCCCTTTTGGCCGCCCAGCTCTCTTGGTGAGTGGTATGTGTCGCCACCCCCTGGTCGTCCCAGTGAAACGGATCCGCAGGGCGTCGAAGCAGCAAGGTCTGGGCGTCCTCGACCACCATCTATTTGGGCTACACCTCCTGCAAGAAGGCTCAGCCGTGTTTGATCTGCATGCACGGCATTGGGCTTGGCTTGTTGGGAGCAGTATTCTTGTCGGAAGGCGTGGCCGTTCGATGTGTGGTCGCCAGCTTGTAACGCACACCTTGAAAACCCAACCTTGCCATTTTGTCATCGGCTGATTTGGAAGCAAAAAAGTACTCTTTCAAGCGAAAGTGTCATCAGGAGTGAAAAGTGCGATCGTGTCTTCCTCCTTCAAACCTGACAAACTTGGGCCATATTTTTGTCCGGGTATTTCCGCTCTTGTTGTTTGGTGTTTCTTTTGAGCCTGGTGGCTGGGAACCCTGTGGATCCGTTTTCTCATGTAAGACGTAAGATGTCTGGAATGTTGTGAAATACCAAAAAGTGTATGTTGGGATCTGTGAAGTTGAGAAAGTGTCATTTCACAAAACATGTTTTTCCAAAATGACTAAAACAATGCACACTTATGGTTTACTATCATAAGTTACTAGGCACCGGGGTCGGTTCTTTCTTGGTTGAGTCCAAGGATAGCAAGCTAGCCACAACTCCTCAGGTAGGCTACACGCCAAGTCTTCGATTCCGCCAGAGGTTTTGGTCCTTTTGCTTCGTGTAGCCCCTTGACTGGCCGTTCGCACACCAGCGAGATCGGTGTGGTTGTTCGTGGCCTCCTTGGGTGGCCTCAGGGAAAAGCTGTCACTGGGATTGATGAGAGGTTGCACGCTGCAGTCCCACCAAATGTCGGTGCTCGCAGTCGATGAACGAATCCACAGTGCTTGGGAGCCATCGAAGACGCCCGCCATCGGACGACACCCGCAGAAACCGCCTGGAGCCATTTTAGGATCAAGGCTGCGTTCATCAGATCACGCAGATGTCAGTTCAGTTGTTTGGTGGAGGTTGCGGACGACAAGTCTTGTATCTGATGGTGAATATTTCTCAAGTGGTTCCCCAATATGACATAGAGTTTCTTATCGTTCCTATATATATATAGTTCCACACTTGCTTCCTTAGAAGTTGTTTAAGTCTTTCTTCGGGGTTGATGATTGCAGAATGTCATGCCTCCAAAGGTTTTCAACTGTCGATCCGCAGCGCTTGGAAACTGCAAGAAGATCAGCCAGAGATGCAGAACTGCAAGCTCTCTACTGTATGAAAATTACCCAAGACCTGCCTTGACACCATGTTTCCATCACCCAAGAGCGAAGGTGGACCAACATGATCGGTCAGAAGTTCTCATGAAGAGAGGCAAACCTTTAGTTTTTTTTCCCCCTTGCCTCTACCTGAGGGTCAAGACAAGAAGGTGTGCGAAGACAACAAGATGCTAAACATTACCAAAATACAGCCAAACAAAAGTCATTACCAGTTTGCAAGATCTCAGCAAGTTAACTGCCACACCTGCTCCATTTGGCCCTATTTTGCCCTTCTTCAGCCTTTCTGCCGGCTCCGCCACGAACGTGCTTTCTCACGAACCACGTCCGTGCCGATGCCATGCCGGCAACCCCGCCGAAGGCAGCCCGAGGGGGCCGCCCCCCCCTGCCCAAAGAGGAGGAGGTCGGCGTGAGGAAGAGCCATGTGAAAAATAAGGCCTGGCAATGTGAGGGTTGCAGCAGCTATTATTTTAACACAGCATTTGGTGCAATTTAAGTAGTACCGGTGTTTTTTTCCATGTGCTTTTTGAATCACCGCCGAAATGCAGGGTTTTCTCATTCAAAGTCTCAAGGGTCGGACCAAAATCCCCAAATCAGTGCCAGGAAGTCAACAGCCAGGGTAGCCTTGGGCTGCCCTTGCGCTTGGATTCCTCTTCACCGGACACCTCGTTGCTCTCGGGGAATGCCTCCACGCCAGACCCTGGGCTGTTTTTCGGTACGTGAGTTGATCGGAGTCGGAGTATAGTGGGAGATGGGTTTCTTCGTCGTCCGTCGTCCGCACATGCCAGGGGAGAAGGAATTTGGATGATGTCAAAACATGTCAAAACAACTTTCGCGAAACTGAAAGGCCGATGGGACGGCGAAAGACATCCACGTTCGCTGAGACAATGCTAGCTGGAAGTGCAGCGCGTGTGTGTGATATTTGGGTTTACGATGTTATATCGTTTCTCATAGACCGCCTTCTCAATCATGTCCATTGGAAAAGCGCCGCTTTCCATTAGACAAGGCTTCATGTCAATGGTTTCTTGGGAACATATTGTGATTTGTGCGAAATGGGCTGCGAAAGGCCGGTGAAAGGCCCATTGGCCGGTCTATGTCTTTGACACAGTTCTTTCAACCTGCTGGGGAAGAGGAAGATTAACCAAGTCTCTGCGTAAACATATATAGGGCTGGCACTTAAAGAACACCGGAGCTTGTTTTAATGCAAGCAAAATCAACGATCACCAGTGTCTCAAAAGTGACACTTTTCGTTACCTTACATGCTTGAAAGTAGTTGGCAGGGAGAATTTGTTGACCCTGGACCTGGACTACTTGGGCTGCCAGAAGTCTAGAAGGAGTAGTTCAAGGTCATTAATTAGTCGTATATATATATATATTTATTTATTTTTTAAATATACCTTAGAACCTGAATGACCTCTATTTTGGACCACCAACCACCCAAAATACGGTCTTTTGCCTATCAGAACAGAGGTCAAATCGGTTCTAGGTGTATATATATATATACTTTGGCAGCCCGTTGGGCATTCCAAACGGATCCAGATCCGATGAGCTGCCCAGCCAAACCGTTCGGTTGTGTTCGCCCAGGACACAGAGGGGTGGCCTCCGCGGCGGCACGTGCGCTATGAAGCTTCGGACGCAAAGCACCGGCTGTTGGATTCCTCAGAAAACAAGCATAGCTCAAAGAAGCTCAGGACACACACATAGCTGAAAATCCCATACCCAGCTAAAGATTTCTCAGAAGTTTGCTGCACGTCTGTTGCATCAACACTTTTTTTGGGAAACTTGCCGCGCTGGGGGGTGTTTCCACGCAGTGGGAGTGGCGGTGGGTCGGCAGCAGGAGACCTCCCGTCTTCGAACCACCTGGTGGAAGGTGGTTCGCGGCAAATGGTGGACTGGTCGGGTTCCAGGTGGGTCACGACCCACAGCCACATTGGTCCTCCCCCCGCAATTCACCCAGTCAGTGCTGAGACGGTCAGCTGGATCCCGGTCCGGAAGCGTATTCCCACCGATGCGACCCATCCGGAGCTTTTGGGTACAAGGAGGTCATCATAGTCATAGACATGGCCGATTGACAGATATACCTTGTACAGAACGGATGCTTGTCTTTTTTTTTGGGGGGGGGGTGGATAGCATTGAAATGCTTTTGAACTGTTTTCCCTTATGTTAGAGGGTCAAAGGCAGGCGGATTTATCGAGGATGGCCAGTGGCAACCCCTCAAAAGGGCCATGACTGAGAGGCAAGAGTGAGCGGGGAAACAACCTTTCAGCCAAGAGCTGTTTGTTTATTGGTTGGTTTGTTCGTGCATTGGTTGGTTGGGTGGGTTGGGTGGGTTGGTTGGTTGGTTGGCTGGTTGGTTGGTTGGTTGGTTTGTTTGTTTGTTTGTTTGTTTGATGTTTTCTTTATGTCTTTAGATATATTTAGATCTGTATCATCCTTGCTTCTTAAGTGTAGAGCCAATCATCTCTGCACCCAGGAGAGTGTTCCTGTGGACATCGCACAGGCAGCCACTGTGGCTGCCTGTCGACGGGAGTCTGCCCCTTGGAGTTGAAACCTGGAAAGCCACAGACATGAGCCACTCAACCACTGGTGACTGAAACTGCATGAACCTGCATCCCCAACATGTGCCTCTAGAAACCTGAAGTTCCAGGGCCAGGCCATGAGAATTCCCTTTCGGTTGCTGCTGCGGACACTTCCCTAGTCTTGGACCCAGGTCCCAGGTAGCCAGTTCCCACAGAGAGGAGGATGACTGACAGTCTTATTTCTGCAAATCTAGGTGACCACCTATAGGCTATAGGCCTAAACCCATTTCTACTTAGACAGGAAAGCAGAAAGTGTGTCTCTTAGCTATTTGCTCTATATAAGATGTTATCAGCAATCCAACCCTAGAGGAGGAGCACTAAAGCCAAAGGCCACCATTTTGCTCATATGTAGTCTATAATATATAAATGGTTGTATAACATATATAGAGCCACGGATTCTTTGAGCTCACTAAACAATTATATACTATGTACTTACTTCTCTCCAAGTTGAGGCTCAAAGAATCCGTCGGTTTGCTGGTGCTCTTTCTTCCTTCTCCTCCGGACCAGCCAGAGTCACTTCCTCCGCGCCCACGGCGGAACGGCGGAGTTGCGCCCAGGAGGTGGCCACCAATTCGTGGCCCTTGACTTCGCCCAGGGAGCGGGTCGACAGTCGGTCGACGGGTTTGAAGATGTACGAGCTACGTCACTGGGTGTTGGACTGGGCGCTTTGTTCAAGCTGGCTTTCACCAAGTTGGGATGCTGCCATTGTTCTGTCTCTATCGGATTGTGGTTTGGGCAGTTGGCTCCAAGTACCTCCTGAGTAGGATGGCGCTTGAGTTGGATGGCTTTGGGTCTCAAGACCTGAGATGGCACTTGGAGCATTGAGAGTCGATGCCGATGAGTCCCGCCAGGACGATGAGTCCAAGCGGCACTTGACCATGCAACTCGCCGCTGCAAATGTTCCGCGAGCAAACGGGAGCCGAAACGGGTGCCAGGTCTGGCACCGGGAAGGGGACGTCACCCGAGGTTCTTCCTGGATCCTGCGCAACTCTTAGCTGATATCAAGGCAGACGAGAAGGAGGTCGGAGAAATATGTCAACGCTCCCCCCTGGTAGCTGTTGCGTTTCTTGGACCACATGGTGCCTGGTATAGCTTTTGCATGCTGTTGCTATCGCAGGATTGTCGTTGGTTGGAGGAACTGCAGTTGACGGCCTTGGTCGTGAATGCTGATCGAGGTATTGATATGGCCAGTCTTTTCATTTATTGCGCACACACACCCAAGAATCTGAAGTAGTCTAGAGTCTGCGGGTTTTGTGAGTGCACTTTAAGCTGTAGATCAACTGCAGTCAGTAGGAGTGTCAGTAAAATTACTGTAGATTTCACAGAAACCTAGTCATGTCCGGTCGCCTGAACGTAGGTGGCCCTGGAAGATGATGATGACACTGAGTCGAAGATCGAGGAGGAGACTGAGACGATATTGCTTGGCAGTTCTGGGCCAAAGCCAGCTTACACAAGTGGCTGCAAAAAAGGGATGTTTGTGATAGAAAAAAACTACTGTATATCCTGTTTCATTTTTCCGAGAGGTGTCAAATATGTTTTATTGGTGTTTAGCTTTGAGCAGAAGAAGTAGCTGGACTCCGTAGGGGGGTCTGTGCACCTTGCGATCAGAGGTCATCCCAATGTGGAAGCTCTCAACAACCTTCGCGGAACAAAATGCGTTTGGATGCATGGCATCGCCATTCCATACCCGTTGCCCCAGCTTCCCCACGGACCGCGGACCCGCGACCGCCCGCGCGGTTGGACCCCGCCGAGGAGAAGGACACCACCGGCGACGCAGCGACCGCCCGTTCCACGGGTGGGTCGACGCCGAGCATCGCTGGGGAGGCGGCGAAGCGGTCCAAGGTGCGCCGCGACAACGCGACTCGGTGGGAGCGAGCGAGCTTGCGGCGTCCCTCCGGTGACCCTCCGGTCACGCGGGGCCAGGTGTCAGGGAGCGTTTGGATGAAGAAAACTCAAAACAGAATTCGTTTTGTTTTGAATTTGTGATGAGGTTCTTAATTACAATCCCAATGGGGGGGGAAGTTGATTAATCAAGATTGTACCGTGTACCTTATTATGGTTGGGTGGAAGGTGCTGGAGACTGGACATTTGGTCATGCTTCCCCGACATAATTGGACCATATGTTGGAGAAAGACACGATGTGCTTTGTGTCCTACATTATATACATGTATAGATTATATAGAGACCGTAGGGACAGGGTAGCGCTAGGTAGATCCACAAACACATTATATTTACCAGGCTACCGCCTGCAGCCGCCGACCCCCAAGGGATAGAA